TTTTTTTTTAACGATTTTGTGCATTTATGGAATCTTCCAATTAACAGATGAAAAAAATGGAAATGGATGAGATCGTGTGATGTCCGCTCAAATTCTTTTGTCTTCCACTTTTTTAGAGCGATGATAAGCGCTTGTGTTCGTTCTTGCTGACCGATTGAATGGCTACAAAGAACAGCGAACATAGAAAAAGCGGAGCGAACTCGAAATGAAGCTTGCAAAGTGGGTCAAACGCGAGGAAATGACCTTTAGATTCCTTTTAGGCTTCTCGCTAAGTCAAGCATTTCTAAACAGAATATGGGGATATGAGTAGCAGGAGTAGGGGAAAAATAGAAGGAAGTAGCGGCACTATTTTGGTCGAATTTTGCAAGGATTAATAGAGCGTTTTTGTTGAACACTACGTAGAAGGCTACTCTTTCACTGAAGTGATGTGCTTTCAAGAGCTTTTTTTAGCTGAGAAAATCAATGTTTCTTTAGAACATCGATATTCCAAGTGTACAACTTCAAAGGTAATTTTGAATAGTTAAGAAATGGGCCATAATTTCGTAACTACTACCTCAACGTTCACTGACTTGAACTGATAACTTAGCATTGGCGATGAACAGTTATGCGATTCGATCTCGTGGTAAATTGTACAGACCTAAATTAAAGTCATGATTAATAAACGAATTTGCAATTGAAATCTGGAAAAGACCTCTTTTTCTTCAAGGGCGCTATCAAAAACACTGCCGTCCTCACATGACGCTAACTTTGGAGAAGCACCTAAATTAATATTTCCAGGCTAATCACGATTTTCCCATGTTTTTTATTCAAAAAATCCCCAAAACTTGTACAGACATATACTAATATATACTGTAACATTAATCGCAAACCTGCATACATCATGTAGACCATCGACGATACCTGGGGCAGTATCATCAATTCTGCCAAAATGCAAACGCAAATCACATAGGGACCGAACTTGATGTAGTCGTCCAAGCGTTTGGTTTCTTTATCCGTCATTTTCTCTGTATAAGCTTACTTTATAGAGTAAGACATAGAGCTTGAATATGGCACTAACGAAATATTCGAAATTATTGTCGTAATGTTGAGGTAATCACTTGCTCATAAAGAGATTGAGACTCAAGAAAGACAACACAGATACCTAGCTTCTAGAAGAGAAAAAACAGAATATTTTGCGGAATACACAGCAGTTAGTTAGAAGTTACGGTAAGTAATGTGCAAAAACCAATATCAATAATTCAAAATGATTTTCAAAAGATAATTGGAAGTTTTTATATTAAATGTTGTACACCAGTGCTCACAATGTGAAGATATTAATTTATGCTGCAAATTGGATTCCACTAACTGAACTTTAAATTATTATCACTTCATGTCCATTTTGGGCCTTAACCATAGCTTGGAAGTATCATCTACGTCTCAATAAAACTGGCTTTTCACAATTATAACATAGCGAATCGTGTAATTTATTATTTTTTTATCAACTCTACACAGGAGAC